CACAATCGTCCATACACCACCATACACTACCACCATTAATTTATATAGCAGTCTACAGACATTAAAAAAACAAACAGTCTTCTTCTTGCAGACCGCAGACCTTCGGTCCACCACTTCTCCTGCAGATGTCTACAGTAGTGGTCCGCAGACCGCAGACCTTTTCCTGCAGAAAAAACAAACACCCCCTTAGACTTTTTTTTTTGTTTTTTGAATGGTTATTGTTTCTTTATTGTCTTTATATTCTTAATTTCTTATAGATATAATTTAGTCTTTATTTTCACTATTTTCTACTTTTTTTTCTACTTTTCTTATTGTTTTTTTTGTTTTCTGTTTTAACTTTTACCAATAACTCATGTTTTACTTTGATAATTATGTTTGATACAAAGTTAAGACTTAAACAATATATACACACACACACACACACACACACATATATATACATACACACACACACGCACGCACACACACACACACATATATATTTAATGTTCGCCATTTGACCGCCCGCCGCTCGCCACGCTTCTCGCCATAAAAAAGAACCTCTCGCCCGCCACTCGCCATTCGCCATTCGCCATTCACAACTATGTTTATACACACACACACACACATATAGGATCTTACGATCCGAGTTACGATCTTACGGTTTATGATCTTTATTAAGCTCAGAGATCCTACATAGAATTTCGAGTTTGACTACCTTGTTCTACAGCCTTCAACCACCATATATCTGGTGGTTGAGGTCTTCTACCACCTATCTTCTTATGTCCAGTCTCAATATTTGGTGGGTGGATACTCTCTCTGGACGCAACTTCTTTTCTTTCATCCTGTTGCTATCGTCCCTGTCAGGGAGCTGTTAAGAGAGTATATTTTCTCTTGTCTTTGTTTCCATGCAATCTCTAAGGGAATGCCTCCTCCCAGCTAGAGGGATCAGATGTTCAGGGTTCCCTTCTAGAATAGTCTTGTTTGGCCAGGACATCCTCTCTTGGCCCAGTCTACCTATTAGGCCAAGGCTATAAATCTATGATACTGGACCTCTGGAGCTTGTCTTGCAATTCAATACTCACTTAGGTCGGAGTTGTAACCCAAGTTGCTAGTTGGCCTGTCTTGGTGAACCAAGATTCCCTTGAGCCTACTGCTATGGGCCTCTTCAGTCAAGCCTACTGCTCTGGGCCTCTTCCTTTTGAGCCTGCCTGACCAGTACTTCCTCTCCTGTCTCAGGGTACATCTAGGCCAAGGCTACAGTCATATTCTCTCGAGCTCTTATTCCAATCCAATGTTCACTTGGTCCGAAGCTGTGACCCACCATCTTACCCATGTTGTGTCAGTCCCTCCATTGATCCAGTCTACAGTCCTGGGTCTCTTGCTTTTCAAGCTCTTTTGGGTTGGGTTGGCCCGTAACTGGCCACCAACCCTTCAAAGGGTATACTGTACTTTTTAGATTTATTGCGCATTGACATTGTAATGTTATCAAGTTAAACTTATCATTCGACGTCTAGGGTTTACATTTTGACATAAAAAACAACCTCTCTTTACCACCTTTTCTAAGTAGGGGTAAGGCTTGCGTACACCAACCCACACCCATCCGAGGTTTTGTACTGCTTGAGCCGGGGGTCTCTTGGAAACAATCTCTATACTCTGTATTAGGGGTAAGGTGTGCGTACACACACCCTCCCCACAATCAACTTTTGTGGGATCCTACTTGGTTGTTATTGTTTATGTTTTGACATCTGCACTGATTGTATGTGGTGGTACATCTTGTCCTGTTTGAAAAAGATTCTTTACTAACAATTATTACGAAAATCTGCGCATTTGATCCCAGAGACACGACCTCTAGTTGGACTAGTTCATTGCAGCTTCAATATACAACTCTTGTGGGTCTGTCCTCAAATCTCCTGCTACTTTTTTCTCTGTTTTTTTTAAATTTAAGTTGGTATAGTGGCAAAAATATCATATTTCACTCTTCAAATCATTTTGACTGATGAACTATTCTTAGATGATTGTTGTTGCTATCTTTTCTTAAATGATTATCTTGAACAAGAAACCAGGCGTTATGTTAATTGTTCGGTCAAACTTTCTCTCTTTCAGGACTCCTCCAAGCCAGTGGTTCAGTCATTCACTGATGCCTTTGCAGATTATCATTCTGATGTCGTTCCTTTGACTAGTGGGCCTCATCTCTTTTGTAGCTACTTAGACAACCTGTATGTATTGTGCATTTTAATTTTCTGAAGTTAAGTTCTCTTCTCGAGTTCTTTGGATGCACCACAATTTAGTATTTCTTTTCTGCAATTTGACATGTATGTAGACTAATATGCCTTTTATTTGTTTATTGGACATATTTCCATTTGAATATGCTCACAAGGAGATCCTGTAGAAGAAAAAATAGCACACAACTAGTCATGTAGTTGCACATTTTTCTAACTTTATACCAGGATGTAGTTTTTATATTTTGATCATTTTTTGATAGGATATATTTTGATAATTTGGTTAAAGAGCATCTTACACCTATTCTGAACTGATTTATAAGATGCACAATCTTTCATGTTCAGCATACACTAAATTGCCCTGCTGAAAATTCCAATGGCTAAATCACTTCTCCAAGGGTAGACATCATCTGTGCCTAAGACCTAAACCTCAATGAAATCTTTTCTAGCATATCTAACATAACTTTGGGACGGGAGAAATATAATTAATATGAACAAGTTTAAAGGGAATATTCCTATATTTCACAGAGTTGGAACCCTTCTACCATTAGTAATTATGCAGGTAGTTTTGTGTTATTCTCTACTACTATTTTTAGTTTTGCATTGTTATTCTTTTTCAGGACTGTTATTTTTTCCAAAAAATCAGGTTTGTCATATGCTCTGTCCAAAAAGTTTTGTTCATTAATATTTACTTGATTATGCAGTGGGCTTGCATTTGCTGCAAACAGAAGGAATCTGGATCAGCATATTTTATTATTTGGTTGGTCAGTAGGGGAGGGGACAAATAAAAATGCAATGATTGAAATTCAGGTTGATTCTTGGCACCCAAAAATTTTGTCTCAAGGTGATCATATTTCCTTTCAGAATGACTGCACATTTTATAAGTTTGCTCTCTGACACTGACACATTCAGATTGGATTTGTTTGTTTATTTCACTTGGTTCCCTGTGCCTTGCTGTTTTTTTTTAAATTTTCTACACTGTATTCTTGAAGTAAAAATGAATCAGCACCAAGCTGCCAACCTTTTTTTTGGTTAGGGATTTAGTTTGATCATCATTCATCAACACGGATCATAGCTTTGGCATGGTATTTTTTGACACAGAAGTTTATAACAGGGTCTCGGTATTATTTGTAGTATAGTAGTATCACTTGTACTTGTGTGGTGGGAGTGTATTATTGAAAAAGATTGGTTTTATGTCACGACTCACAAGGGTGTACAGGTGAAGCTGTATATGACCAGGGGCTCCATAAACTGTTATTTAGCATATAATAATATGAAATCTTTCTTTCTTTGCTTGTAATCCTAGATTATCAAGTCTTGTTGCACTTTAAGCATGTCTATGTTCTTATTTTGTAAGCATGCTTTGATCTTAAACATGAATGATGTGGACAACCTAGAATACTGGATAAGGGCATATTAAATCATTTCCTCAATCAAAATCGTTTAAAACAATCTTATTTTTCCTATGAGATTATATCATGCTTACAGAATTAGAATCCATGGTATGAGAAAGGAGAGCCTTAGGGCCTGATGAGATCTTGGTGAAGTTTAGAATTATGTGGGCAGCAAGGGGTTGGTTTGGCTAACCAAGTTATTTTTAGGAGGCCAAAGATGCCCGAAGAATGGAGGGAACATGTGGTGATCCCAATGTATAAGGGGAAGGGTGATATCCAGAGTTGCGATAATTGTAGAGGCGTCAAACTTCTTAGAGCGTGTTCTCTTCAACTTATTTTTATTACTTGTTACTTATTTCTCATTGGAATCAATTCAGGTCACGTCAGATCAGACTAGATCATAAACAACTTTAAATATAATTACATTCAGAGACCAGATCAAAACTTATTCCAATCAGATCAGAATCATTCAGATCAGGTAAAGAGAGCAAACCCTTAGCCACACTATGAAGGTCTGGGTGCATATCATAGATGCTAGACTTCGGAAGGAGGTTAGCATTTCCGAGAACCAATTTGGCTTTATGCCAGGTCGACCGCAAAGGCTAGTCACCTTCCGCAGAGGTTGATTGAAGAGTATAGAGCTAAGAAGAAGGACCTTCACATGGTGTACATTGGTCTCAAAAAGGCGTACGATAGGGTGCCAAGAGAGATCGGTGGAGATGCCTTGAGTTTAGAGGGGGTTCCAATTGTGTACATTCATGCAATCATAGATATGTACGACGGGTCAAAGACTATGGTGAAGACTATAGGGGGTGATGTTGGGTGTGAAACCTTTTGGGCCTTTAGCCTGGTATGGCAAAAGATGAGCAATTGGGTCGGGCCGGTGTTAGGCTTCAACTCAAGGTGGAAGGAGGGGGAATCAGGATAGAAGGGATTCAGGGAGACAGTAGGTATCTAGGGTTGGTTTTGGAAGAAGATTTAAGTAAAGGGGTGAAAGTATTTAGAAGAGGGATGTCCTGATAGAAGATGGCAGCAAAGGGAGGATAGGTTTTAGGTTATATTTTGTATAAGGAAGGGTGAAAATGAATTGTATTTAGAGAAGGGAATGGATGGGCTGAATTGAAGGGAAAAAAAGGCAGGAAATTCTTTTGTTGTTTTATTTTGGGGATAAACCAAGTTGGTGTTTAAGAGATATAACACACTCTTATCTTAACTTGGGGTTAAGTCTAGAATTTAATTAAGATATAACACACTTAATTAAATATCTAGAACCTAAAAACCTAAACTCACACTTAAGGTAACCACCCTTAAGATATAGAATTAGGAATTTAAACAAAGAATACAACAAGTGTATTATTTGATAGAAATGAGATTACCAAACTGTTTTTTTTTTACCAAGGCCTATGGCCGAATATATACATACATGCACAAGGAATACAGCCACTCATAATCCTATTACAAATCAAGANTGACTTATTTTGAGGAAGAGTTCGACCATATGATAAGGGACAGATTGGAATATTAAGTGGCTGGTTTTGGATGATTATACATTATGGATTTTGTCATCTTGTGTGTGATTTCAAGAAAGATGATATGGAGATTATAAAAGTTGATTTCCTTGGTTTTATTGGATGGCCTAGCTCAGCTTTTATTGAAGGAAAGAAAGGGGAATGACTCTCTTTGTTTGATTGTGAGAGAAGTCAACAAAGAGACAAATAGCTACTGTTCACCTTTTGACTTAAAATGGACAGGGATTTTGGCCAGATTATGGGGTGGGTTTTAAGTGTTTATTTTAGTCAAAAACATGATAATTTTGTTGAAAAACAGGAGAAGGATTTTCGGCCAAAGAGGGGAGTACAGGATGGTCTCCTTTTGATGGTGGTTTGGGTTGTTTTGGGGTGATTGGTTCGGCCTTTAGTAATCCAAAAGGACTATGGCTAGGATTTGGGTTTTGATGATAAATTCATTCCAAAAAGGATCAAGACACCTAGACATTAATCCATTGATTTGTTTAAGGACTTGGGATTCCATATTAGTAACCCGGGGTATAACAGCCGACCCCAATGGCCTTTGGGCCTGTTTATTGTTATCTTGTTGCCCAAGCTTTGCTAAACCTAATTAGTCTTATAAATACCATGCTATGTAATTGTAGTAATCTTTACACCTGAATAAGAGAAACCCTAGTTGCAATTCGTGGAGTAGGTCACACTGATCGAACCACGTTATATTCTTGTGTCGTTTTTCTTCTCGTTTGTGCTTGTGTGTATTGTGTTTTCGCTGCGTTTATCTACTCTGATTATTCCCAACAACTGGTATCGGAGCGCCCAGGTCCCTTTACTGTTCATTTTTCCACCTGTTCTCCGAAAACTTTTCTGGGAGAATTAGGGTTGGATGAATTGAAGGCTGGGGAGAGTTGTATCGTTACACGCGGTAGTGGCACTGAAGACGAGTTCAGTGTAGGATTTCTGGTTCGTCTGCTGTTTTTTTTGCAATTAGGGTTTTATAACCCTAGTATTCGCCGTTTTTGCTGTAACCCCTTGTAACCCTAGTAGTTATGTCCGTTTGAGAGAATACTAAAGCCGTTTTTTGGGGCTGCTTGTTTGAATCTTTCAGAAGAAAGGGGCTGCTGTGAATCAAAAAAAGGATAGACAGGTTGTTTTGGTTCTTGGCTTTTTTGTTTTTCAGATTGGTTGGATTGCAAGTTTTCTGTGGTTGTTTGATCTCTATTCTTTGATTGGACTGTTTACTGGGGGTTGGACTTTCCGAGATAATTTTGACAAGTTTACCGAACTCAAGACTAGTTCACCGCGGGTCTTCTCTCTGTCTCTCATTTGCTATGGCTGAAAGTGAGAAGGTTCTGGTTGAGAAGTTTAACGGGACTGATTTTGGATGGTGGAAGATGCAAGTAGAAGCATTGTTATCTCAAAAGGATCTGGGTGTGGTATTGGCAAAGGAAAAACCGGAAAAGTTGGCTCAAGCTGATTGGGATTTGAAAGACAAGAGAGCCAAACCGGATATCATACTGACAGTGACTAAAGATGTGGCATTCAATATCATGAAGGAGAAAACGACTTGGTGTTCTTAATCCGGGAGCTTGTGAATACAAAGATGAAAGAAGGGGCTCGGTGATATCACACATTAACAACCTAAATTCAATTTTGTCAAGACTTGACACAGTTGGGTTGAAGTTTGAGATTAGGTTTCAGGGTCTACTGCTATTATCGTCTCTGCCAAACAGTTAGTCCGGTTTTGTTACAACAATTACAAATATTGTGGGAACCGGAGGAATTACTTTTGAGGGTATGCGGGATCTTAATCTCGGAGAGGATGTCAGAAGGAGGAACTCAGGTGAATCATCAAACAGTGAGCTGAGCAGAGGTCGGGGAATTAATAGGAACAGTGGGAGCTGGGGAAGGAATTCGTCTAGAGCTTGGAAAAATGTGAGATGTTGGAGCTGTAATGAGACATGGCACGTCAAGAGTGAGTGTCCGGGTCCTAAGAAAGTTGTTGGCAAACAGCAAGTGAATAGTGTTGGACAGATGAAGAATCTGATGTTGACGTATTTGTTTGTGTGTAGAGTCTACTACAGACTCTTGGGTTATGGATTCTGGTTCTTCATTTCACGCCACGCACAACGGGGAAACGATGGTGAATCTAAAAGAAGACTTTGGTAAGGTATGGTTAGGCAACGGTGAAATTCTTGAAGTAACGGGCATAGGAGATGTTTATCTAGAAGACTCCATTGGGTACTATATGGAACTTCCAGGGTAATTACGGGCTTGATGAAGAAACTTATTTTTGTTAGTCCACTGGATAAAGAGGGACTGGATGTAAGGTTTGGTGGTGGCAAATGGCAAGTGATAGATGGGTATCTGGTGATTGCTCGTGAAAAGAGACGGGGATCGTTGTATATGGTTAGAGGTACCTGCTGAGGGAGTGACTGTCCTTGTTAAGCAAAACAAAGTCTGTTTCACTGAATCCAGTAGGCGTAAGAGGGTTCAATTCGCAAACGTGAAGCCTGGAGCCACGGGGATGTCACTTGAATGTGTTTTGAAGTTTAAACCACTTAGGGGATTTGGGAACAGTAGGAGCACGAGACGTGTTCTAGATACAGTTTCAAAGAACCGTTGGGGTTTGAAGAAAAAGATTCTGACTAGAAAATTCTCTCCTGAAGATAGTTTGCATGATGTGGAGAGTGGTAACGATCCTTGGTGCATCTCTGGAACAGGTGGATTGTGCAAGCCGGATGAGACAAAGGATGGGGTCTGTTAAGACCGGTGAGTTGGAGCTCGGAGGAGCTTCAATTGTCCCCTCGGATACTTGATGAGAGGGGTTGTTGCAACTAGGGGGATATGGCCTGAAGTTTTAGCTTGTTCTAGAGGAATTGATGCTTGAAGAACTTGTTTTGAAGATTACAGGAATTACTAGTGCTAGGTTTGTGATAACTAGA